GTGCAGGTAGGCAGGAGGGAGGGGGGAGATTGTGATGTATGGAGCTAAGATGGGTATGGGAGAGAGGAGAGAGGAACAGGAGCCAAAAACATACAAACAAACAAAAAGGAGTGCTAGAGGAGCTTGCCGTTGGAGTGGAGAGATGAGAGACTATGAAATGGAGAAAAACAAAAAGGAGAAGGAGAAAAAAAAGAAAAGAAATGAATAAATAAAAATTAGAACAAAGAAAAGCAAAGCTCGCAGGGATCCCACTGGTGTAGCTGTGAGGTCTGGGGAATTTGCTCCCAGGCCATGAAGTACAGCCTGGCTAGAAGGGGTAGAGGTGTCACTCAGCACCAGGTATTCAGGGGACAGGAAGAAAAGGAAAGTATAGAGAAACAAGAAACTGAGTAATGAGGAAAGACAAAAAGGGGGAAAGAGGGGAAAGAAAACAAACAAAGAGAACAAGAGAAACCCCCAAAAACCCAGAAAAACAAAAAACCCCAAGAAAAAAGAAGTGCCCTCAGGGATCCCTCTGCCTGTCTGTCCAAACTGAGGGGGTAGTTCCTAAGCCGCGCAGTACTGCCCAGCTAAATCGGGCTCCCAATTCAAGAAAAGAAAAAGAAAACAAACAAATAATTCAGAACAAATAGAAAAAGCCCTGGTATCCCACCAGCGTGGCAGCATGGGCCGGGAAGCACTCTCACATTCGAGTGGTGTTTCACAGCCTTTCAGGAAGAAGCAAAGATGGTGCACGGAGCCAGTTATTTGAGAGAAGGGAGGGGGAGGTGGTGAGGGGTAAGGAAGAAATCTAACAAGCGGAAAAAACAACACCAGCAGCCAACAAATGGCACTTAGGGAGCCGGCCAGTGCGGGCAGGTGGAATCCAAGTGACACCGGAGTGAAGCCGGTGCTTCCTGGCAAAGAGACTGTGGCCACAGGAAGCAGAGGAGGCTGAGCGGGGGTGAAGAAGGGTGGGGGGTGGAAAAGCGTATATTGCTGGTTACCGGTTGTTCTGTCTCCTGCTGGAAGTTCCGTAAAGCTGCTTTCTCGTACCCCCTGTTTGCTGGTCTGTGATAGGGGTCCAGGGTGGTTGATCCATGCTGTGTTAGCTGATAGGGGACCTCTGCATGTGTCTCTCCTCACTCTCTGTTCTCTGTTAGTTTCTTATTCCATTCAGTGCTCAGCTGAGTTCTTTATCTCTTCATTCAGTGATTAGGGTTTCAGGATTGCCATTTTCTCTGTTTAGCTTAGTTATTCAGATCTTTGCTATGGAGGGACAATGTGGTGTTTCTGCCTGTAGCACCATGTTGCCTGGAAGTCCCGACATGCTGAATTTAGAGAAATGCATACACCTATGTAAACGAGACCCCTATGGAAATACAGGATATTACTGTGAACCCAAAAAGTTTCTTCACATCCGTTTGTGATCATTTTGCACCCTGCTTCCCCAGAGGCAACCACTATTCTAATTTTTTCTACCATTGATTAATTTTGCCTGTGCTAGAATTTCATATAAATGGAATTATACAGTGTGTACTCTTTTGTGTCTGGCTTCTTTCACTCAGTCCATAATGTTTTGAGATTCATCCATGTTGTGGCATCTGTCAGTAGTTTTTTCCTTTTTCTTGCTGGTAGATTCCACTGTATGACTGACTGTACCACTGTTTGTTTCTCAAGTCTTCTATTGATGGACATGCGGGCTCTTGGCAGTATTTGGTGTTATGGATGAAGCTGCTGTGAGCATTTGTGCACAAGGCTTTGGGTAGACATGTAGTTTCATTTTTTTGGTAAATACCTAGGAATAGAATTGCTGGGTCATTGGGTAAGTCTG